TAAGCTCATAGTTCCACTCATTTGATTTTCTAGGAATATATTCAGCAGCAGCTTGACTTTTGCACAATACATTTTTAATTCTGGGGCAAATATCATCAGAACTCCACTTGACAGATTTATCCCTATTTTCTTACATTCTTGTCATGAGCATATATCGAATTTTCTCCAGAAGAGTGATAATATGTTTATCTCTTGCATCCAATATCATGCTATTAAAACATTCACATATGTTATTCACTAAGGTATCACATTTTGCATCTTCGGAGAAGTGAGATTTAGACCATTCACTAGGTGACTTATCTCTCAACCAAATAGCAGCTTCGGGATCCAAATCAAATATTTCAACCATGCGTTCATCAAACCACCTTACTGTTGTCGCACTAGCAGCTTTCCAAAGTGCATTTCTTAGTGTGCCACCACAAAATCCGGCCCTTTTGAAATTACTATGCAAGTGTCTAACACAAAATCTATGAGCGACCAAAGGTAATATATCATTAAATGCTTTTATCAGACTTTTTTGCTTGTCTGACATGAAGGTCCAGTGAGCTCCATCATCGATCTCCAAGTCAAGCTTTAGATGATCCAAAAACCATGCCCATGACTCACGATTTTCTTTCTCCACAACTGCATATGCTATCGGATAGATATTGTTATTAGGATCAAGCCCAACAGCAGTTAACAATTGAGTCTCATACATCGGACCGTTGAGCCAACAACCATCCACTCCTACTATCTTCCTACAACCACTCTTGAATCCTTCCTTGCAAGCACTAAAACAAATGTAGAATCTCTGAAATCTTTCAGGCTTGCAGGATTCTTCATTTTCAACCAACTTCATATAAACAGAAGTATTTGGATTTGTCCTCACTATTTCATTGCAATAGTTCCACAACAACTTGAATTGATCAGAGATATCTCCATCGATCATTGCAATTGCCTTCTTTTTTGCCCTTCTACATTTAGATAATGTCACATGTGCTCTTAACTGAATACTAACATGATCTCTAAATTCAAAGATCTTCCAATTCCTGTTTGTTTTTATGGCATCAAGATATTTACTAGCAATGAACAAAGATGTGATGGTTTTGTTAACATGGTTCCAATTTTTGCACTTGTGGGTCGGATTGTATGTCTTTACTTGAAAAGCACAATCTCTATACATTTTAGAAGCCATAATCTCCCAATCACAATCTGGATGCTTTGCACAAACTGCTCGTATCCTTTCCTTATCATTCTTGCGCCATTTTATATACTTTCCTTGACTGACTTCATGAGTTATCACAGCATTCTTGAACTCTTTTTTACTTTTAAATATCAATTCAAGTGCCAGGATAGGATACAACCCATCTGTATTTGGGTTGAACACAGTTAAGTTCATACCATCTGAATTAGAATCACTTTCTAGGCTCTTGAACCCTTCAGAGTTAACACAATCAGAATCTCCATCTTCATGAGCCATCTTTTTTCTCGCTGTTTCGCTAACTTCATATTCACGTGTCCCATTTTCACTCCTTTCTAAAATATCATGTTCATCTGACAAATCATTATCCGAGTCTTCAAAATCATCATCACTTGAAGAATATTCAGCCCTTCCCTCTTTTCTATTATGTTCAACATTGTTGCTGATATCCATTCCAATATAGGAATCTAAATGTTCAAAGTAAACCTCAATTACTCTATCTCGAGGGATGTTTCTGAATACTAAATTAGCTTCAAAATCAGTTGAAACAAGCCTCATTTTTTCACCGAGTCTACCATATTTGTGCCAAAATGCGACTGACTTATTATCATATCCACATATCTCAGCCATCTTCTTGAATTGAGATAACTTTATTTCTGAAACATCAACATGGTCAATGAACTGGACACGACCCCCAAAATAATATTTTTTAGGCTGGTGCTTCATAAAACCACCGTGGGTTACTTTCATGCTGATTTTCAAGGTATCGTGTATAGAATCTATAAACGAAAATAAATTTTTTTAAAATTGATATTTTCTTTTCTACAACAAAATCTCTCACAAATAAAAACTTGAACTCTAGAAAACTTACCATACGGAGGAGCTGTACCACCTTCTGATCGTAGAATCATTGTCTTGAGCTTTCACTAATGGCCAAATCTGAAATGAATCTAGGGTTTTCTTGACTTAGCAATGAAGAAAAGAGGAGGGAAAAAGAAAATTGAGAGAGAGTGTACTGACGACGTTTGTTGACGGTTTTTATAAAAAGTGGATGGAAACCAAACTTGACAAAAAAGTGAATAGTTAAAGGACCATATCCATCAACTGTATAGTTAAACGACTATTTTAAACCTACTAGGATAGTTTAGGGACCATTTCTGTCATTTGCTCCATTATAATAACCCAACAATCTATATATAGAATAGAGCACATGGTTGCAGAACAGATGTACTAACTCTGCTCAATTTAAGTGTTCTAGTTTGTTTGAGCACAAATTTAAAAAAATAAAAAGATATTTTTGAAATTTATGATTAAAATAAAGATATGTGTAATTTTTCAAATTTTGTAGTAGACATTGAAAAACTTATTAAATATAGAAAGAAATACTCTTTCTAAGACATATCAAAAAAGAAAAGTAAGAAACTTAAATTGAGACTGAGGATTGAGGAAGTATACAAGTTTTAAAAGATTTATTTTTGCTCAATCTTTACTTAATAATCCTATTGAGTAAAAATATTAAGCATTTGTAGCTTCTGCTAACACACTGCTACTATAGCAATTACACATGCCTATTAATATCTCCAAAAACACGTATTAGAAATGTTAATGTGCTTCTTCAAGGAACTCTGTCACTAACATTGAGCTTCAATACCTGGTTGATAGGATAAGGACGGTTCGGTGCATAAAATATTCCGCTTTAGTATGATCCGAGAAAACTGTGCACCTCAAATACTTAATAAAAATATTTCTATATGCTTTTTTATGGCTTGAATGTATGACCTATAAGTTATACGAAGAGAAAATTTATTGTTGCTCCAACATATTCATAATACGGTAGTCTTTTTAGCACTATAAATAATGAGTTGTATAGAAATTTATCATTTTGACCTCTTTATATTTTAATCCCCCACTTGGGGGTGGGGTGGGGGCTTTTACACCCACCTTTACTCTCTTGCTTTAATTAGTTTGTTGTAAAAGTAATGAATGGTCCAGAAATGAGATGAAGTCTTTGTCTTCTTGTTGAGTAAGAAGTCTTGCTTTTGGAAAAGAGAAAAAGGCCAGTTTTGCTTCTTTTTTTTCTCTCTCTGACTGACAGGCTGTACATTGCACCAAATGACTAATAAGTGTCTTAAATAGGAATTACTTTATCTTGACAAAGTCTCTACCATAATTAGTTTTTATTTTACATGTAATGGCCAAAACAATAAGCACAAGTGCCGAAACTATTATATATTGTCTATTTATATTTTAACTCGGTAAAATTATTAAGTAAATATTAAATAAAATAAATTTATTAGAATTTACATGATATAATAAATTTTGCAATCATGTGCTTTATTTTTTATATTGACCATTGTATTCGTAAAAAAATACTAATTGATATAGTTCAACTGTAATCAATCAAAATATAGGAGAAATCTATATATATATATATATATATATATATATGAAGAGGGAATAAGTATTCACCACAAGTCAACATGTGTTCCAATAAGAAGAGGAAATAACCAATATATATATATATATATAAGAAGAGGGAATAAGTATTCACCACAAGTCAACATGTGTTCCAATAAGAAGAGGGAATAACCAATATATTTATAAAAAGAAATGACATAGAAAATAAAATGGAGAGAGCATTGGTTTTTCAAAATGGAAAAGGACAAAACACATATAAAATTAAAAAACATATAAAAAAAAGTTGGTTTAACTCTCAAACATAAAAAGTAACATATGTTATTAAAAACTTTAATAAAAAGTACTATTATTTACAATAAATAATAACTTAAAATATCTACAATACAACAAAAAAAAAAGACTAATTTTTGTACTGCTTCTGTTACATAAATTAGGATTGGGATGATTTTAAAATTTTAATTTTGGTTATACATTATAAAATAGCCGAAAAATTGAATGATATAATTTTTTTTTAAATAACCGTATGAATCGTCCTATCGATAACCCTAATGTTACTTCTACTCTGTTTATTTTTACTTAAATTTAGAAAGATATGCTTCATTTCTACCCTCAATCTTATTGCTACATTTATTTGCTATTTAAAATTGAAATTAAAAAGACAAATCACAAATAAGTTTCTATATTAGCTCACTTATGAGCAAAATATATTATAACAATCTTTACTAATTTTATAACAATACATAAACTATACTCCCTCCGTCCCATATTAGATGGGCACTTTCAACTTTACACGGTGATTAAGAAATCATTAATACATTGAAAGCCTTCACCATTTTGCCCTTTGTTTATATCAATGCACATTGAAATGAGTTACAAAAAATACACATACAATATAGGAATGATCATATTAATTGTAGGGGTAAAATGGAAAAGAACTAATTAATTCTATCCTAATTTAATAAGTGCTCAAATAATATGAAAAAAATATTTTTAGTAAGATTCTCATCTAATATGGGACGGAGAGAGTAACAATAAAACTTTATTTTCTTTACTAGTATATATATATATATTTTAATCATAATTCATTTTTAACTATTACTATTTCGAACCCAAATATCACATGACTTCATTTAATCTATGTTACTAACTTTAGGTGTCTACCGGTACCCCACTTTCTAGAACCTCCAACTACCTTCAATTATTCAATTGAGAAAGTAATGAATAGGCAGGCACTAGCAAACATAGAAAGTAAGACCACTAGCAAAAGAGAGAAAAATCAGTGACCATTCTTGTTTGGAAATTACTATTAGCATTCAACAGGTAAAAGAAAAGTAAAGTTGTTAGTAATTGAAGATTGAAAAATAAATCTTGTAAAAATCATTTTGTTTTGAATTTGCAGATTTCAGAAATGGAGGTTGTCTTGGCAGTTGGTGATGCATTTCTCTCTTCAGCTTTTGATGTTCTCATTGATAGGCTTGCTCCTCAGGGTGATCTTCTAAAAATGTTACGGCAGCGTAAGAATGATGTTGAGCTCTTAAAGAAGCTGAAATTGACTTTGCTTGGTCTTCAAGCTGTGCTAAGTGATGCAGAGAATAAGCAAGCATCAAATCAATTTGTGAGAGAGTGGCTTAATGAGCTTCGACATGCTGTAGACTCTGCTGAAAACTTGATTGAACAAGTCAATTATGAAGCTTTGAGGCTTAAGGTGGAAGGTAAGGATCAAAACCTTGCAGGAACACTATTTAAACCTTGGAAAATGTTCTTGGGTGATGATTTTTTTGGTAAAATAAAGAACAAGTTGGAAGAAACCATTGTTACATTGGAGGTGATGGAAAAGCAAATTGGCCGCCTTGGCTTAAAGAAGCATTTTCGTTCGACTAAACAAGAAAGTAGAACACCATCAACTTCGGTTGAAGAATCTGATGTCTTTGGTAGGCACAAGGAAATAAAGGATTTGATTGACCGTTTATTGTCTGAAGATCCAAGTGGGAGAAACCTGACTGTAGTTCCTATTGTTGGAATGGGCGGCGCGGGTAAGACAACACTTGCTAAAGTGGTTTACAATCATGAGAGGCTGAAGGACCATTTTGGTTTGAAAGCTTGGTATTGTGTTTCTGAGGCATATGATGCTTTGAGAATAACGAAAGGGTTACTTCAAGAAATTGGCTCATTTGACTTGAAGATTGATGGCAATCTTAATCAGCTTCAAGTCAAATTGAAGGAAAGCCTAAAGGGAAAGAAGTTTCTTATTGTTCTAGATGATGTGTGGAATGAAAACTATAATGAGTGGTATGACCTGAGAAATCTTTTTGTACAAGGAGATATGGGAAGCAAGATAATTGTGACGACACGTAAGCGGGATGTTGCTAAGACGATGTGTGATGAGAAGATGGATCTTTGCGCAATCACCTTGGGGCCTTTGCCTAGAGACGACTCTTGGGCTTTATTCAAACGACATTCACTACAAAATGGGGAACATCCAGAACTTGAAGAGGTTGGGAAAAAAATTGCAGAGAACTGCGAAGGGTTGCCTTTAGCTCTAAAGACACTTGCTGGTATTTTACGCCGCAAATCAAAGGTGGATGAGTGGACAGACATTTTAAAAAATGAAATATGGAAGCAGCAAATTTGTTTGAATGATGTAATACCAGTGTTGATGTTGAGCTACAATGATCTTTCTCCTGATTTGAAGGGATGCTTTGCTTTTTGTGCAATATATCCCAAAGATTATCAATTCTGCAAAGACCAAGTTATTTACATGTGGATCGCTAATGGTCTTGTAGATAAGGTATGTTCAGGTAACAAAATCTTTGACGAGTTGAGATCAAGATCATTGTTTGAGAGGGTCCCAGGGTCTAAATGGAAACCGGAGAGATTCTTAATGCATGACCTTGTCAATGATTTGGCCCAAACTGTATCTTCAAAACTTTGTATTAGGTTGGAAGAGAACGAAGGATCTAATGATATGTTGAAACAATGTCGTCACATGTCCTATTCCATGGGACAAGAAGGTGAGTTTGAGAAATTGAAACCACTCTCCAAATCAGAGCAGTTGAGGACATTGCTTCCAATCAATATCAGTTACTCATCTCAGCTAAGCAAGAGGGTATTGCATAACATACTGCCAAGACTGACATCCTTAAGGGCATTATCATTGTCTCATTACAAGATTAAGGAGTTGCCAAATGACTTCTTTATCCAATTAAAGCTCCTCAGATTTTTGGACCTTTCTTGGACACATATTGAAAAGTTGCCAGATTCTGTTTGTGTATTGTATAACTTGGAGACACTTCTCCTGTCACATTGTGTTAATCTTGGGGAGCTACCGCTGCAGATGGAGAAATTGATCAACTTGTGTCACCTCGATATAAGCCACACTTCTCTCTTGAAGATGCCGATACATCCGAGCAAGTTGAAATGTCTCCATGTGCTAGTGGGAGCCAAGTTTCTTCTTGATGGTCATGGTGGTTTGAGAATGGAAGATTTGGGTGAAGTACATAACTTGTATGGATCTCTATCAATTCTAGAGTTGCAAAATGTGGTTGATAGAATGGAAGCTCTGAAGGGAAATATAAATGGAAAGAAAAATGTTGAGAAGTTGTCTTTGGAGTGGAGTGGAAGTAGTACTGCGGACAAATCACAAACTGAAAGAGCCATACTTGATGGGCTACGCCCATACACAAACATAAAAGAACTCCAAATCACTGGATATAGAGGGACAAGATTTTCAGATTGGCTAGCTGATCCTTCGTTTAGTAAGCTTGTAGAATTATCCCTTAGCAACTGCAAGGAATGTGATTCCTTGCCAGCACTAGGACAACTCCCTTCTTTGAAATTTCTTTCCATTAGAAAGATGCATGGAATAATAGAGGTGACGGGAGAATTCTATGGCAGTTCATCATCCAAAATGCCTTCTAACTCTCTTGAGAAGCTTGAATTTGAAGATATGGGGGAGTGGAAGCAATGGCACAGTCTAGGAATTGGCGAGTTCCTCATGCTTGAGAAGCTTTCAATTAAAAATTGTCCGAAGTTGATGGGGAAGTTACCTGAAAATCTTGTTTCTCTGAAAGAATTGAGAATTTTAGAGACACCTCTTTTTGAAGGAATGAAGCAGATTGTTGAATTATATGTTGGTGATTGTAACTCTCTTAATTACCTCCTTACCTTTTAGGATACTGCCGAGTACCTTGAAGAGAATGAGGATAACTGGTTGCCACGATCCGCCAGTTGGTGAGATGAGTTATTGTAACATGTTTCTCGAGAATTTATATAACCATCACGAGCTCCATTCACTAGGTCTTTGGCACCTCACTTCGCCTCAAAATCTAGACATTTGGAATTGTCATAATCTACAATCACTTTCCGAATCAGTACTGCCCTCCTCCATCTCTGAGCTGACCATCAAGGATTGCCCTAATCTCCAATCCCTTCCAGTATAAGGGATGCCCTCTTCCCTCTCTAAACTAGTTATTTCCAACTGTCCATTGCTCACACCACTACTAGAATTTGATAAGGGCAAATACTGGCCAAATATTGCTCCAATTCCCATCATATGTATTGATGATAAATACCTGTAATGATTAAAACAATTGGTGCTCTAACAAATGTAAGTTATTCTTTTCCCTCATAAGCTTTTATTTTTGTTTACTTCACTTTACTTTTTTGTAAGTACTTCCTTTTTAAAATCTTGTTGAGCAGTGTGGAAAGTATATATGTTAGACGGTAATTAAGTCGGCTTTGAGAGAATGTTTTATTGATAATTTATAAAAATGAGTGGCTATGGCATAAGACTAATATGTTATCGAACTTTGAGAAAAGGCTCATTCATGCTATTATTTGTTAACTAAAAATAGTTTTAATTTTGCAAAACCCTTTTTTATACGTGGTCAATAATGATTCGGCTACACCATTAATTAAATAAGTTTTTAAAAGAAAAAAGGTTCAAATATGCCTTTTCTCAAAGTTCAATGGCATATTTGAGATCCTTGCTGTTGTTTGGTGAGTTGTAAGTACAAATTTGTAAGACGTTTCGGAATTTGATATTCCTTGGTGTTATATGTGGAACTCTCTAGCATATGAATCTAGTCTTCCAGTATAATATGAAAAGTATCCTAACTTCTTTGTTATCTCAAGGTTGATGAGATGTTACTCTTGTAAGTCCAGAAGAAAGAAAAGCCATTGAGGGGTTGTATTTGGAAGCATTAAATCAACGCAGAAGGCGTAAAAAGGATGTTCAGAGATGTATGGGATGCCATAACTGAGAACTCAAAGGTATTAACAAGTTTATCTTCATATTTTTGCTTGTTCTTTCTAAAATAATGAATGTCGTCGGAGAAATAGTGAAACACTTTGACTATTCATTTGCGATAAAAGTAAATATACTTGAAGGTTGTTTAACCTGTTTAACCTGTAGCTCCTAATTGTGATGCTTCATTTACACATTTTTAATATTTTATCTTATTACAGGGATAAAGTCTGTTCTAGTCAATTAGATGTTACAGACTTGCAAGTATTTGTCGCGCGTTATATAATTGCATATTTCTTGGATGGCAGGTATTGGATTGGTTTCTCATTGCTATTGATTTATGCTCTTATCACGTTGTAATTTCACATCCCAATTGCGAAATACATCATATGTAGCTTGTGCAACCATGTTTAATCGAAAGTATTTAGTTCTTGTAAGCATCAACCATCCCATGTCAAGAATGAAACTTTGCTTAATTGTAGAACGAAGATCTGATGTCACTATAGAAAATCTTTTTAAAGTGCATCGATGCAGGATACATTGTATTTTCACTATCCTTCAATGTTTGCACATATTTAATTGTGCCACAACATGACCATGAAAACTGATCATTCTTTAGTAATTAAAGATAGATTTTATCTTCTCAAAATCATTTTGTGTTTCCTTGTTTTGCTTTACAGATTTCAGAAATGGATATTGGCTTAGTATTTGGTGGTGCATTTCTCTCTTCAGGCCTGCAAATTTTCTTTGATAGGCTTGCACCTCAGGGTGAGCTGTTTCAGAAGCGTAAGAATGATGTTCAGATCTTAAAGAAGCTGAAAATCACTGTGTGGTCTTCAAGCTGTGGTAAGTGATGCAGAGAATAAGCAGGCGTCAAATCAATCTGTGAACCAGTGGCTTGATGAGCTTCGAGATATGCTGTGGACTCAGCTGAAAACTTGATGGAAGAAGTTAATTATGAAGCTTTGAGGCTTAAGGTGGAAGGTCAGCATCAAAATCTTGCAGAAATTAAACCAGCAATTACTAGCAGTTAATTTTGTGGATATTTTCTTTGCTTGTCTATTAGCTTCATTTGGTCGTTGATCAATTGTTATTATAGGAGTTGTTCGATCTTGTCTTATTTGTTCTTAAACTTGAGTCAACTAAAATCATGAATGGCTAGAAACAAAGATGGCTAATAAAATGAATAGATGTATCATGATGTGCATTTCATATTTTTGCTAGTTCTTTCCTAATTTTCATGTGCATTTCAGGACCTTATAGTGTTAATCTGCTTTTCTTAATTTGTCTGCTTTACTCTCGTCACTACTATCCATGCTGCAATATAGGACCAGAACTGCAAGTGGTATTGAGATTCAAAAGACAACTGAAAATTGGTATAGGGACTAACCAAATAGGCTGTTAAAATTCAGTATTGGTAATATCATGATTTACTATGTATAAAAATAATATTAAATAAGGTATATAGAATAACTACATATTATTTTCTCTAATATGTACCAAACAACATTAAGGGTGTGTTTTGTATGAAAAATGTTTTCCAATTTTCTCATGTTTGGTTGGGTTAAATGTTTTGGAAAATGTTTTCCAAATCAACTCATTTTCCTCAAATTTAAGGAAAATGACTTCCCTTCAAAACTTAAGAAAAACATTTTCCAAAACTCTCTTCCAACTTCCAATTTAAAAAAAAATTGTTGAAAAAATTAATTTATTTTGTCTCTACCCTCAAACCAACCCCACCCACCTACCCACCCACCCACTCCCTACCCCCCCCCAAAAAAAAATTTTAAGTATGTTTTTAAAAAATATTTTCAACTTCAAAATTTCATTTTTTCACCTTACCTTGAACCCCCCTCACGCACCTCCTACCGAGCCCCTCACCCACCCCACCCCTACCAGCCCCCTCCCCCCAAAAAAAAAAAAAAATTTAAGTTTGTTTTTAAAAGATATTTTCAACTTCAAAATTTCATTTTTTCACCCTACCCTTGACCCCCCCCCCCCCCCCGCACACCTCCTACCCAGCCCCCCACCCCCAAAAAAAAAAATTAAGTTTGTTTTTAAAAATATTTTCAATTTTAAAATTTCATTTTTTCACCCCTACCCTCGACCCCCCACCCACCCACGCCCTACCACCCCCCCCCCCCCAAAAAAAATAAAAAAATTAAGTTTGTTTATAAAAAATATTTTTAATTTCAAAATTTCATTTTTTTCACCCCTACCCCCACCCCCCTACCAGCCCCCATCCCCCAAAAAAAAATTTAAGTTTGTTTTTAAAAAATATTTTCAACTTCAAAAATTCAATTTTTCACCCCTACCCTCAACCCACCCCCAAAAAAAATTAAGTTTGTTTTTAAAAAATATTTTCAATTTCAAAAATTATTTTCTACCCTAGTAAAAATAAAAGATATTTCTCAAAAAAAAAAAATCATTCATAAATCAAACACTAAAAATCTTTTCCGGAAAATATTTTCTACTCACTAACCAAACATGAGAAAATAAGTCAAAAATTAACTTGTTTTCCAGGAAAACATTTTCCTTCATATCAAACACACCCTAAATCCACTCCTTCCCAACCACCATGATCTCACCCCCCCCCCCCCCCCCAACTAATTTCCCATTAGGGATTGCAAACGGGGTGGGGCGATTGCGGTTGCGGGGTGAATTCGCATAAACTCACAAGAATTTCAACCTGTCTCGCTCAGCATAACATAATTTATTATTTTCACACATCGTTTGTCACAAGTTAATCCAAATGATTTTATTATTTTTTTTAAAAAAAGACATGCTACATAGTACAGAGAAAGGTGAAAACATATTTTTAATTATAATAAGATGGTTTAATTTAAACTTAGTAATTTTATAACCCGCAATCGATACACATATATTTTCTAAAAAATTATTCTATCCTGCACTGCTCCATTGTCATCCCTACTCATTAATTTTTATTAGGTTTGATTGTATAGTTAAGAGGGATAGGTTTCTCCGGTAAAATGATTGAAGACAATTGAACTTTTTTTTATTTTTTTCGTTAAATGAGATGCCTTAGTCATTTTCCACTACATTACAATAACCTAACATTCAATATATAGAGTAGACACATGGTTGCAGACGGATGCACTAACTCCGCTCAATTTAAGTGTTTGAGCATAAAGATTAAAAAATAAAAAGAGACTTTTGAAATTTATGATTAAATTAAAGAAGTGTGTAGTTTTTCAAATTTTATATTGTTAAACTTAGAAGGTAGAATGTAGTGAAAAACTTATTAAATATAGAAAGAAATACTCTTTTTGAGACATATTAAAAAAGAAAAGTAAGACACTTAAATCAAGAGTGAGGAAGTATATAAGTTCTTACAAATTTATTTTGTTGAATCTTTACTTAATAATCCCACTAAGTTAAAATAAACGTTTGTAGCTTCTGCTAACACACTATTACTATAGCAATTATACATACCTTATTATCTCCAAAAACACGTATTAGAAATGTTAATGTGATTCTTCAAGAAACTCTATCACTATACATTGAGCTTCAATACACTGTGGATAGGGCAAGGACAATTCGCTGCACAAAATATTCTGCATTAATATGGTCCAAGAAAAAGGTGCACCTCAAGCACTTAATAAAAATATTAGTATATGTTTTTTCACGGATTGAATCTATAACCTATAAGTTACACGGAGAAAAATTTACCGTTACTCCAACAAATTCATAATATGATACTCCCTTTGTTCCTAATTACTTGTCCACTTTTAAATTGACACACCTATTAAGAAAACAATTATTGACATAGTAAGTTTACCATTTTACCCATATTAATTATGAAGTGGATGAATTAAAGTCTTAAGATTTTTAAGAAATTCTACCTTTTTCATAGTAATTAATTGAGGGTATAATAAGTAAAAAAATTATTCTTTCTTGATTTATCAAAATGAACAAATAATTAGAGACAGCTAAAAAAGAAAAAGTGGACAAGTAATTAAGGATAGTGGAATAGTTCCTTT